CAAAAAATAATTGTTTTCTAAGAAAATGGTTCAATCAGTCTAATTTTTATGTCATGGAGATGTACAGAGAATTTGGTTTGCTCAATGCCTGATCCCTTCATGTAATTTGAATTTGGTCAATATATGTTGACCAAACCCCTACTGGGAAAAACTGAGTGCAGGAGGACAGTAGCACAGTGATTTTTCCCTCACCACTTTTCATTCAACAAGCGATTGAATATTTAGGTGGGCTTGCAGCTGCTTCCCTAAAGGAAGCCAAGTACTGTAGTGTGATGACTGGCAGGCAGTGCAGATGGATTCACTTGCATAGTTGCTTACTTATGTTGCATGGACTAACAGCATTCTGACGTTTATATATTTAAAGTACTGAGAGAAAACCTTGTATTGAGGAGTCCTTAGGTTTAGAGTTCCAGCCATGCTTGCTTTTAGGATAGTCCATTCAGTTCCTCCATCCCACTCCCAACAGACTCTTTTGGCCAGGCATGCTTAATCTTAATTGCACTGTTTGGAGTCTCTCAGCCCCAAAATTGTATTCCACACTGTGAGGGTTCGACTTTAGGCTCCAAATTCAGTTGAAAGAAATCAGCAGATCCGTGTTGTTCCAAAACAGGAGTGGGATTTATTGGAGGATTAAACAAGTGTCTGGAACATGATTACAAATCTTTTCTCCTTCTGCTAAGTGATCCAGAAGGGGCTTCCATTCGTCGAACAAGAACAAGTTTCTATAACTGCTGTCCCATGATCTCTGGAGATCAGTTGAGACCCAGTCCTTTACTTTCTGCCTCGCTGTGCCTTCCAGCAAGGGCACGGTCTCCTCATCCAGATTGTCATCCCACAAGATCCGTCCATCAGGGTCTCGATTCTCCCAAGGTCTTCCTTGTAGCTCCTTCTCTTCATCTCTCTCACTCTCAATTCTAGCCTTTCTCTCCTTTCTCCACTCGCTCCTTTTCCTCTCTCAATCTTCTTCTCCAATCCCTCGCCTCTGTTCCCCCCCCCCAATAAGAGGGTTTAGGGGGAATCTCTACTCTTTTCTATAATCTGCCTCCTCCTTTGGCACTCTCAATCTCTCCCATAATCCAGTCCACGTATCCTGCATCTACACCCATTCCCAACCGGGCGGTAACTGCTCTTCCCTCCTCTCTACATCCCCCGCTCCTGCTTCAAACTCCACCCTCCTTTTTCTCTCCCTTCCTGCCTTTTCTTTGTGAACCTACCCTATCGTCACTTTCTGTATATCATTTGTCAGCTCCTCTGTCACTGTCTCCTGAGGAGGTTCCACTGAAGGTTCGGGTACGGTTTTGGGGTCCACTTCCTTATCCCTGTTGTTGAGGAGGGACAGCTCTCCAGCAAGTGGGGTATCCCTCTCACTCTCTGTCTCACACACACACCTTGGAGTTTCCCCAAGTATGTTGACACTGCTTTTTGTTTTATCTGTAGGTCCCATTTTAGCTATGTAGCACCATTACTATTAGTACTTATGGTTATATGATTTAGGAGATGTTTGGTAAAACACAAGAAAGAAAATAATCTAATAAGTCTACCTTGTCAGTTAATGGCAAAGGTAAGGTTTATAGCCAGAGACCTTGAGGTTCTTGGTTGAGTCTCATAACTCTACACTATACTAGTTTTGAAGTAAACAAAGGTAGGGTTCTTTCAAAGAATTTTAAAAGGATGCTAGAAAATAATAATAAAATACAGTGGTGCTTTGACTTACAAATGCCTTGACCTACGAACATTTTGAGTTATGAACAGCTCCGTTCACAAAATTTTGCTTTGACTTACGAACAGAAAAAAGGCAGGGGAAAAGGGCGGGAAATTTAAATAGATAACTGTAGGTGGCGACGAGGCTGCTTCTTTGTAGCTCTTTAGCCCCATCAGTTAGAGAGTGTGCAATCTGAGATGACTGCCTGCTAAGATAAGGTGCTGCTTTACACTTTTTAAAAACTGTTCTGGGTATTTTTGCAGCGTGATTTCCAGCTGGGGGAGGGTTATGTTTCTGTGCTGTGATGGGTCTTGGGGTGTGTGTCTTTTTTGTGCTTTTTTTTCACCTCCATTTCCGATCAGGGGCTGGTTCCTTTTTGGAGTGTTTTTTCCCATTTCTGATGGGTCTTGGGGATTTTTTTTGGTCCCCCCCCCCATTTACAATGGGTCTTGGGGGATTTGGTTGCTTTTTGGGTCCCCCCCCCATTTTCAATGTGTCTTGTGTGCTTTTTGCTTTGTTCTCTTTGCATGTCTAATCTGCTCCGTTTGTTTTCTGTGCTTTTGCAATGGTTCCTGCATGCTTCCCTTGCAAATCAGAAGTTTTTGCAAGGGTCTGTGCTGGCTTGGTTTAAAATGTGTTGGTGTAAAGTGTGTGAGTTTAAAATGTGTTGGTTTAGCATGTGTTTTAGACTCCAAAATCTCTCCCTCCTGAGTTTAAAATGTGTTGGTTTAGCATGTGTGTTAAATCTCTCCCTCCTCCATTGTCTTCTCTCTGTGTGTGTCTCCCTCTTTCCTTCCCCTTTTTAAAACCTAAGTCATCTTAGGTTAAAAAAAATTCTCCCCCTAGTGGTAGAGGATGGATTAACCAGTTTTGCATTCGTTCCTATGGGAACGAATGCTTTCACTTACAAACCGTGCCTTGACAAACAAACAAACAAAAAACAGCAGGAATGGATTAATCAGGTTTCAGTGCATTCCTATGGGAAATGATGTTTTGACTTATGAACACCATTCCATTATGGATTAAGTTCGCAAGTCAAGGCACCACTGTAAATAATAATAATAATAAAAAACTGTCATTAGCCAGTATTTTAATTAATTATGCACAACAGTTTAAAATATATAATATTGTACATACTAAAGACATGAACCACCTTTTATGTAATAATTCCCTGTTATATGTACACAGTTCAGAATCCTGAGTGACATGGTATTTTCACATCCCTCTTGTCCCATTTTGGAAGGTCATTTTAAAAAAACAATACTACATTGGAAGAAAATCAGATCACCAAATACAGAGACTCCATATGAAATTACTACATCTTTTCCAGAAGTCCAGCAAACTTCTCATCAAATAGTTGGAACAGAAGAAAGAACTGGTAATGCAAATTGCTTCTCAAAGATACAGATTGAAGGCCAGGGTTTCTGCTGCATTATTATTATGTTCCATATCTTTATTTACTTTCAACCCTAGACTTTTTATTGAATATAATTCCAGAAATTATTGATAAAAAATTTAAATATATGCTGTTGCACATATTCACATCTGCAAGGCTGTTCTGAGCCCAGAGGTGGAAAATGCAGGAAATTCCGAAGAAACAACTTACTTAAAAAGTTATTAGATACAATGGTGCCCTGCTAGACACTTACCCTGGTAAACGATGAAATCGCTTGACAATGACTTTTTTGCAATCGCTATTGCGATCGCAAAACGATGGTTCCTATGGGGGAAATCCACTTTACATTGATTAGGTCCCTGCTTCGTGCACAGTTTGTTTTCTAAACGATGATTTTTCCAGTTCTGCAAAATGGGTTCCCTTCGCAAAATGGCTGTTTTCCGGACAGAAGCTTCAGAAGATAGCGATTTTAAACAGCTGATCGGCGGTTCTCTATGCGTGATCTTTGCTGGACGATGAGGTATTTCCCCATTGAAATGCATTAACCGGTTTTCAATGCATTCCAATGGGTTTTTTTCCACATGACGATGATTTCGCTGTACAGCAATTTTGACAGAACGGATTATCTTCGTCATGCGGGGCACCACTGTATTGCGGAAATGGATAGCTTATCAGAGACACTACATGAGAACCCGAGAATGTATATTAAGGAAAGTTGGAAAATGTTTTACAATTGGGCCCAGAAACATATATGAGCAGAGAATGCATTAGAGATTACTACATCACAGTCATGAAGTCAAGAGCTTTTTAGATATTGAAAGCAAATATCCCCATTCATAACCCTAGAACTGCAGTGTACCTTCTGATAATATGCAGAGAGAAGAATGCTAACTTCATTGAAATTAGTGGTCTTAACTGCATCCTAGTTTTATATAGGATTGCAGCCTTATGGTGCTCTTTTCTGGAAGCACTGTAAGGCTGTAGTCCTATGGAAAACTAGATCTAACTGAAACCACTAATCTCATCACTTGTGGTGTAAAGCTCTGTGAAGGGGACAGGATTATTGCACCAAAAATGTCATTAGGAAACATTCTTAACATCACTTTATTTAATTTGGTGAACCCTGTTATGTGCTACTCCTGTCCTCTAGACAGGAGCTAGACTAGATGGGTTTTATTCAATAAAATACAGTAGGACTTTAATTTCTGAGAGCACAGGTTGCTGTCCTCTGAAGATGCTGGCCATAGAGACTGGTGAAATGTTAGGAAGAACAACCTTCAGCAGAAGAGCCTGAAAAACCCACAACAACCATTAGATCCTGGCTGTGAAAGCCTTCGTGAATTGCCATGTTATACAGTGTGGGTTTTTCAATTAGTTTTTTTTGTTTCTGTTAAGAGTTTCAGAAGCCTCTTGTAAATAGGTACAGGACCCTAATTTATGACAATTAGTAGAAAGACCTCTTTAAGCACTAAACCATTAAGACACAAGTCAGGGCGAAATTAAATATTACTCAAAAAGCGAAGCAAAGTTTTCTGCTTATGTACCTCTCTGCAGTGTTTAAAGAGTAGTGGTCTGGAAGGTTTAAAATTTAATTATGCATGCTACACATTGCCCTACCCCCATAAGCTGAGCACTCATTTTACTAACCTCAGAAGAATGGAAGGTTGTGTCAACTTTGAGCCAGGTACCTGAGTTCAGGATCGAACTTGGGTTGTGAGCAGAGTCTTAATCGCAGTTCTGCAGTTTAACTACTGTGCCACAACACAACAGTTTAAAATATATAATATTGTACATACTAAAGACATGAACCACCTTTTATGTAATAATTCCCTGTTATATGTACACAGTTCAGAATCCTGAGTGACATGGTATTTTCACATCCCTCTTGTCCCATTTTGGAAGGTCATTTTAAAAAAACAATACTACATTGGAAGAAAATCAGATCACCAAATACAGAGACTCCATATGAAATTACTACATCTTTTCCAGAAGTCCAGCAAACTTCTCATCAAATAGTTGGAACAGAAGAAAGAACTGGTAATGCAAATTGCTTCTCAAAGATACAGATTGAAGGCCAGGGTTTCTGCTGCATTATTAATATGTTCCATATCTTTATTTACTTTCAACCCTAGAACTTTTTATTGAATATAATTCCAGAAATTATTGATAAAAAATTTAAATATATGCTGTTGCACATATTCACATCTGCAAGGCTGTTCTGAGCCCAGAGGTGGAAAATGCAGGAAATTCCGAAGAAACAACTTACTTAAAAAGTTATTAGATACAGTGGTGCCCCGCTAGACACTTACCCTGGTAAACGATGAAATCGCTTGACAATGACTTTTTTGCAATCGCTATTGCGATCGCAAAACGATGGTTCCTATGGGGGAAATCCACTTTACATTGATTAGGTCCCTGCTTCGTGCACAGTTTGTTTTCTAAACGATGATTTTTCCAGTTCTGCAAAATGGGTTCCCTTCGCAAAATAGCTGTTTTCCGGACAGAAGCTTCAGAAGATAGCGATTTTAAACAGCTGATCGGCGGTTCTCTATGCGCGATCTTTGCTGGACGATGAGGTATTTCCCCACTGAAATGCATTAACCGGTTTTCAATGCATTCCAATGGGTTTTTTTCCACATGACGATGATTTCGCTGTACAGCAATTTTGACAGAACGGATTATCTTCGTCATGCGGGGCACCACTGTATTGCGGAAATGGATAGCTTATCAGAGACACTACATGAGAACCCGAGAATGTATATTAAGGAAAGTTGGAAAATGTTTTACAATTGGGCCCAGAAACATATATGAGCAGAGAATGCATTAGAGATTACTACATCACAGTCATGAAGTCAAGAGCTTTTTAGATATTGAAAGCAAATATCCCCATTCATAACCCTAGAACTGCAGTGTACCTTCTGATAATATGCAGAGAGAAGAATGCTAACTTCATTGAAATTAGTGGTCTTAACTGCATCCTAGTTTTATATAGGATTGCAGCCTTATGGTGCTCTTTTCTGGAAGCACTGTAAGGCTGTAGTCCTATGGAAAACTAGATCTAACTGAAACCACTAATCTCATCACTTGTGGTGTAAAGCTCTATGAAGGGGACAGGATTATTGCACCAAAAATGTCATTAGGAAACATTCTTAACATCACTTTATTTAATTTGGTGAACCCTGTTATGTACTACTCCTGTCCTCTGAAGATGCCGGCCACAGAGACTGGTGAAACGCTAGGAAGAACAACCTTCAGCAGAAGAGCCTGAAAAACCCACAACAACCATTAGATCCTGGCTGTGAAAGCCTTCGTGAATTGCCATGTTATACAGTGTGGGTTTTTCAATTAGTTTTTTTTGTTTCTGTTAAGAGTTTCAGAAGCCTCTTGTAAATAGGTACAGGACCCTAATTTATGACAATTAGTAGAAAGACCTCTTTAAGCACTAAACCATTAAGGCACAAGTCAGGGCGAAATTAAATATTACTCAAAAAGCGAAGCAAAGTGTTCTGCTTATATACCTCTCCGCAGTGTTTAAAGAGTAGTGGTCTGGAAGGTTTAAAAATTAATTATGCATGCTACACATTGCCCTCCCCCCATAAGCTGAGCACTCATTTTACTAACCTCAGAAGAATGGAAGGTTGTGTCAACTTTGAGCCAGGTACCTGAGTTCAGGATTGAACTTGGGTTGTGAGCAGAGTCTTAATTACAGTTCTGCAGTTTAACTACTGTGCCACAAGGCTCAAAAAGTTATGGAAGAGTAGTCTAAATAGGAAGACTTCACTCTTTTCCTCCATGGAAGAGATAAGCAGATCTCCTTCCATATCTCTCTCCTACCCTAGATCTGCCTCCTACTCTAAATTTTTCCTCTGTTCTATCAGTTTCCAGAGGCATCTGGAGAGGGGAAATGATATAGCAAAGAGTTAAATTCTCTTTCTCTATTTACATTTTGTCCCTCCTAAGTTGGTTTACTAGCAGATTCATTGGCATGGGGCACATTGTTTCTTTGCTCATCAAATAGAGAAGGAGAAATTGGTTCTTAGCCTGGGGCCTGTAGTACCAAAGTAAGTTAGTGTATATTCATCTACTAGTTCTAATAGAAAAGCAAGCTCTTTCATTGGTGTAGGCCAGCTGGATGTAATTCCTTCATTGATATGTATTATTTTTTTCTCAGTGTATTCATGTATTGCATTTAAAATATTCTTTTCTGCTGCAGTTGCAGTATATGTTCCTATTTATTCAAAAAATGTAGTTCTGAACTGTTTGACTGAGAAGTTACTAATGCAGAAAATTACAGATCCTCAGTACCAGTGGACTGGACCCCGAGGAAGCATAACCAAAGGTAAAAGTTTTTCCCCAATTATAACTAAAAACGAGCATAGTTGCAATATATGTCTTTCCCTGCAGCTCCAATGGGCTGAAAGAGTTGTAAGGATGCTTCATGGAGAAGCAATGGTGTAAAATTTGTCTCCTTTACTCCAACAGTGTGGGTCATGCTACTCACAACATGGTATACCTGTACAACTGTGGGGAATGAGCAGTAAAAAAGCATAGCAGTTTTCTAGGATGCTTGTGTGCCAGCAGTACTTATAGGACAGAGTCAGAAATCTAGAGAGTATTGCTACCTGTAGTATTGTATGTATGGGAGTGCCCTTGATCCTCTGCTGAACTGACAGGGAATCTAAGATTGTCAGGGCACTGGCTGAAATCTCAGGAAATTGTTGTGCTTGCCTGGGTCTCCAGGCGGGGAGACAAATTTCAGGTGCCGAAGAGCACATTTTGTGTGAAAGGGCAGCAAAGTGTGAGTTATTTAATTTCTTATTATTGTATTTCTACTGCCAGGGACAAGGAGAGGTGTGTGTGGTGTTTTAAGTCCATATGGAAATATTTTAAAATGAGGAAAAATTGCACCAAGGTCTTTCCCCCCAAGTAATTAGTCTCATGTTTATTATAATATCCTGTTTTTGATTGACGCAACAGTGCTAGGAATGAAGCTGACCATGGTTCAAAAGTCTGTAACCTTAAAACCAGGAGCAGACATTAGGATATTTGTTTTAAAAATGTAAGGAATCTGGGTCCCTGCCAAGGCTTTTTGCTCCACCTGTGTAATCTCACCATGGCTGAGTGGTGACCTGTACAAAGTGCAGTGATTTAGGAACCAGGGAACCCTTATTTGCTGTGTCTCCCATCATGACTTTACTATTTAATGTAAAATGTGTGTTAAAATTACCATCAGTTAGGCAATACACAGTGCAGAACTATTCATAAATTAGACATGGATAGGAGTATAACAAAGCTTCCTATGTAGCTTAATTTTAGATTATTATAATACAGGAAATGGATGCTGTAGGCATGTTTTTACACCAGTGTAAGCAGAAGTCTATATACAGTGGTGCCTTGACTTACGAATGCCCCTACATATGAGCATTTCAACTTACAAACAGCTCCAGTCGCAAAATTTTGCTTTGATTTGAACTGAGCTTTGACTTATGAACAAAAAAAACCCGCGGGGAAAGCAGGAAATTTCAACTTTCAGTTAACCATTGGCCAGCAAAGAGGCTGCTTGTCTGCTACCTTGCTCACCCCAGCGGTTAAAGAGTATGGACACAGAGAGAGACTTCAGACTGCCTGGTACTCTACTGTATTTTTGGGGATGGGGTTAATTTTATTTATTTATTTATTTGTGACTCTCTTTTTTAAAACAGAGAGACTGCCTGTTCTGAGTGAGTACACTGTATTTACTGTACAGGGGTTTTGCAGCTTGGGTTTGGGCTAAGGGGGGTTATGTTTCTGTGCTCTGATGGGTCTTGCAGACCCTTTCTGCAAGGGTATGTGCTGGCTGGTGTGTTTTAAAATGGATTTTAATCTTTTGGTTTTAAAATCAGAAATTTTTTGCAAGGGTCTGTGCTGGATATTGTGCTCTAAAATGGAGTTTATTCTCAAGTATCTCCCCCCTCCAATTCTCTTCTCTCTCTCTCTCTCTCTATGCTCCCCAGGTGCTTGGTTTGGTTTAAAATGTGTTTTGATGAAAAGGTGATTGGTTTGGTTGAAAAGGTGTTTGGTTTAAAAGTTGCTTGGTTTGGTTTAAAAGGTGTTTGGTTTAAAAGGTGTTGGTGTAAAATATGTGGGTTTAAAATGTGTGGGTTTAGCATGTGTGGGTTTAAAATGTGTTTTAGACTCCAAACTCTCTCTCTCCCCCCATTGTCTTCTCTCTCTCTGTCTCGTCTCTTTTTGTGCTTAAAAGCACAAACCTTTGTCTGAAGGGTCTGTGTGCCCCAGTGATGACCTTCTTTCTTTCCTCTTTTCCCCATTGTTCCCTCCCTCCCTCCTTTCCTGTTCTTTTTTTAACCTAAATCATCTTAGCTTAAAAAAATCTCCCCCTAGTGGTAGAGAATGGATTAACCAGTTTTGCATTAGTTCCTATGGGAATGAATGCTTCGACTTTCAACCGGCGCCTCTACATACAAATAAAAAACAGCCGGAATGGATTAATTGGGTTTCAATGCATTTCAATGGGAAATGCTGATTCAACTTAAGAACATTTCAAGTTGCAAACATCTTCTGGGACGGATTAAGTTTGTAAGTCGAGGCACCACTGTAGGTCCTATGAAGCACACCTAAGATGTTGAGACAGGGAAGAAACGGTTTTCCTCTGGGAGACTGGAATAATATCTACCGTGTTTCCCCAAAAATAAGACATATTAATTTTTTGCTCCAAAACTGCATGAGGGCTTATTTTCAGGAGGTGGTTTATTTTTTCCATGTACAACAGTCTACATTTATTCAAATACAGTCGTGTCATCTTCTTCGGGTTGCTGCACAATGATAGAGGGCAGGGTTTCACTTAACTGGGGCTTATTTGGGGGGTAGGGCTTATATTACGAGCATCTTGAAAAATCCTACTAGGTCTTATTTTCAAGTTAGGTCTTATTTTCCGGGAAACAGGGTAGGTTGCTGAAGGAGGCTGGGCTTGAGCAGAAGAGCTTTTTCACCCGCAGAGTGTTGTGTTCACCCAAGAGGCATAGAATGATCACCAGGAGTATTTTTCCTGGTGGTAGGCCCTAAAACAGCATCAGCATCATCTTAGAACTATAGAACAGGAAAGCACAGTGCTGTTAGCCTTGGATCTCCTGGATTCAAAGTCACTTTTTTACCCAGATTTAATTGATTTCCTCACCCATTCTAGCTGTGAGCTGTAGGAAAGTCCCCTGAATTTCAGTTGAAGAGATAGGAAAGCTGCTTGCAGAAGTAGGAATATTAAAAGATCTCTCTCACCCTGATTAGCAAAAACTGGTCTGTTGTTCCAAATTCTACTTTTCCTAAAGATGAAGTTCCATGCTTCTAACTGGTATAAAATTAACTCCACTGTAGACAAGTGATATGGGAGTGTCTGTTGGCATTGCTAAATTTTCTGTTAGCATCGTTTTGTCTTCTGTTGACTGTTGGAGTATGCAGAATGGCTTGTGATTATAATCATAATTCCGGCTTTAGTGTCAGACACCTGCCATAATATAAGCATGGGACTGAGCTACCTTTATTTTTTTTATCTTTAGATACACATGCTGCATTTTGATTTCCCCTTTAATTTTTTATGAGACATTAGGATATTTGTTTTAAAAAATCAAGGTCTGTATGAAAATGCATACTAGGAGGGATTTACTATGGAGCATTCCATTATACTGCTGAACATGAGACTAGAGAGTCTTTAAAAATTAGAATTCACTGCTTCTGTAACTTCCTAATTGGGTGTTTTAAATTACTGCTTTTATGTCACACTGTTAATATGTTTGATTGTGTGTTTTTATTTGTAGAATCACACCGATTTCTTTTAACTAACGTTGGAAACTTGGATATTTATAATATTGAGGCCAGTGATTCGGGACATTATACTTGCAAAGTGAAGTATATATACCATGGTAAACAACTGACTTCAGAAATCCATTTTATGGTCTATGGTAAATAGGTTTTTACTAATTATTTAACATCACGGCGCATAAAAAAGCATAATAGGGCCTTTCAGTTGTACAGTAGGACCCCTCATATCTGCTGGGGATTGGTTCCAAGCCCCTGCGGATACTGAAAACTGCAGATAATAGTGAAGACTATATATATAGGATGGTAAAAGGAAAAAAAAGAACATTTTTTTTCACATGCATTACCAGAACTGGCCACTATCAAGTATTTGTAGCATGATCTCTGGCTCCCTTTAGTGGCCGGTTCTGTTAATACATGTGAAAAAATCTGAATTTTTTTCTTTTAAAATTTTAATATTTTCAGACTGTGGCTAAGTGAAACCATGGATACTGATCCTGCAGGTATGGGGATCCTACTGTATAAGCATATCTGTAAAGCATATAATTTGTAATAGTTGTCATGTTAGGTAAGATATATACCATACATTTAAAGAATTGCTTCTATTATATCTCAAAAATTAATCTATAATTGGAGGTCCAATTAGGAGTTGCTGGCAGATATCTATAAATTGATTTTTTCCCATTCCCTCCAGCATGAAACTGCTGCAGAAGAGGATAATTTATTCTTCAGCGTGAGCAGCAGCTGGATACCCAATAGAATGTCTCAACCTAATTTCATCCATCCTTCCAAGGTGCTTTTAAATTGTTGAGGGATCAGTCTCCCTCACAGCTGAAATAACCCTTGGGTGATGTGTACAGTCTATATCTTGCCTTGGTGGGATGCATAACAGGAATATGAGGACTCACTCTCCCATTGTTCCTTGCTGTTCTCCAAAGATACTTAAATGCATATAGTATTTGCCACACCAAAGGATGAAATCCTCTAACTGAGGCTGATTGAGTTCTAAGGTCAGTGGTCCAAGGCAAGGGTTTTCATCCTTTGAAATGAAAGGTGTTTCAGACGTCCGCTTCCACTTGTAGCTAGCATTGCTGCGGTCAGGGATTATAATATAATTGTATAGTAGAATCATAAAATATTTGAATTGGAAAGGGCCTATGAGACAAATCACGTCAATCAAATCCCCTGCTGAATGCAGAGATCCAAATCAAAGCAGATCTGATGGTTGTCTAATTTTCTATTGAATGCCTCCAGCGCTGGAACCCTCCCTATTGCATCGATCTTTGTGTCATCTGCACATTTGATAAGTATTCCCTCCATTCCCATCCAGGTCATTAATAAAAATGTTGAAGAGCACTGAGCCTTGTGGTACTTCACTTATTACCTCCTCCCAGTCTGAGAAGGAGACATGGATAAGCATTCTTTGAATACAATTCTGTAACCTGACAGTTGTTGTATCCAGCCCACACCTATTTAGTTTGCTAATCAGAATATCCTGGGGCACTTTGTCAAAAGCTTTTCTAAAGTCAAGATATATTATATCTACACCATTCCCGCCATCTACCAGAGGTTACCAGATCAAAAAATGAGATCAGATTAGTCTGGCAGGATTTGTTCTTGATAAATCCATGTTGGCTTCTAGTAATTACTGCTTAGTTTTCATGGTGCTTGCAAAGTGACTGCTTTATAATCTGCTCCAGAATTTTCCCTGGGATTGATGTCAGGCTGACCAATCTAGTTCCCCAATTCTTCCTTTTTGAAGATAGGAACAAAGTTAACCCTCTTCCAATCATCCGGCACATCACCCATCATCTATGATTTCAAGGAAATAATAGACAGTAGTTCTCTTCAGTCAGTTCCTTCAATATCCTTGGATGCAGGTCAGCCATCCCTGGGAATCTGAACTCATTCAAAGTAGCAAAGTATTTCTTGACTATTTGTTTACCAAGCTCAAGCTGCAATCCTACCCATTTCATGTATTCTCGAAGGTTTTCACGGCCGGGACTACAAAACACAGGATCCACACCAGAATCAAAGAACATGAAATATGCTGCACAATAAAACAATTGGAAAAATCGGCAGTAGCTGAATATGCCCTGAAACAAGCTGGACATGAAATCCTATTTCAAAACACAGAAGTACTGGACAACACCAGCAATCATTATGTTAGACTACACAGGGAAGCCATTGAAATCCACAAACTTCAGCAAAGCTTCAACAAAAAAGAAGAAAGTCTAAAACTCAACAAAGCCTGGCTCCCAGCACTGAAAACTACAGCCTGCAAAAAGGTCAACAAACTCTACCCAGCCACAAGGACTGGTGTTCACTGCACACAAAAGAGTAGCTAACAACACCCATCAACAACAGTGACAGATTATCTACACCCATAAAAAAGCACCCTGATCACCATAATCACCCAATCTCCTGAAAAGGACAAAAAGCTGATCCCACAGCTACAAATAATCAATTATCCCACACACTACACCAGAACACACAGAGAGTTCCAACTCCTGTCCTCTGAAGATGCCTGACATAGAGACTGGTGAAACGTTAGGAAGAAAAACTTCCAGAACATGTCCAAACAGCTCAAAAAACCTACAACAACCTACCCATTCCCTTTGTACTTCGCATTTGCCTGGAGGGTTATAGACTGTCTTTTGAGAAAAGACCAAGCTAAAGTAGGAATTGAGCCCTTCTGCCTTTCTTTTGTTGTCTTATCATTTCCCCATCCCCACTGAGTAGCTGTGCCACTGTTTATTTTCTTTGTCTTCCGCTCTGCACATACATGAAGCATGCTTTTTGTTGATTTGAGCATCTCTTGCTAACCTCAGTTCAGTTTTGCCTTCCTAAGGATGGCATCCTTGCAATTTGACTGTACTGTTTCTTTGTAGCCTGGACTTCCCTCCACTTCCTATATGTGTCTTCTTTGTTTTCAGATCCTCCCAGAGCTTTTTGTGAAGCCATGTTGGTCTTTTTTGCTATTTTCCAACTCTTTTTCTTGATGGAATTGTTTGGAGTTGTAGTTTTACTTTTTAGGAACTCCCACCCATCTTGGATTCCTTTTCTTCTTAGGATCTCATGCCATCGCACCTTACCTCTCTTTCTTCTGAGTTTATTATTATAATTTAACATACCCAGAAACAAACTGTAGAGGAAGCACTGTTGTGTGTGGAAGGGGATGCCTGGGTAGTTCCTGGCTGAGGAGTCCTCTCTTCATTTCTTTACCATCCTCTCATGCATTGTTAGGGGAAAGGAGACATTTAGTCTTCTCACTACCTTCCTGTGGGTCAAAATAAAAAGGGGGTAGTAATGAGTTGTTGACATAGATGTTGCTACCTGTTTAATATCAAGTGAATTGGGTCTTCAGTAGAACAGCGCATGAAATACAAGCACTTTAAAAAGGACAGCAACAAAAGATGGTAAGAGTGCCATCTTGTGGATATCTATAGAGTTATGTATTGCCCTCCTTGCTTTGCGAGTGAGCCATGTCTTTTCTTGGTAGCTATGACTACCCATAGTACAGTTATGGCTGATGACAGCTGTCCATATTATCTCTCCATGGGAAGACTAGTGGGTACTGTGCTTTTATTATTTTCAGCAACTTTTAATTATTGCTATCAATCATTGACATTACAATTCTGCCTCTTAATCCTGCTATCATCTGAAAGCTTGAAGTCTCTAATTCTGCCTTTTACCTAAACAAACTATGTAGAGTGGCAAATATGGGATGAAAATTCTGGTTCCCCAATCTCTCCACTTGGCTAGGACTAGCTTTTGATAAAATGCACCTAATTCTGGAATGCATTTTCCAAGAGAAAACTATGAATAGCACATAAGATGTTGTGTGGGGAAAAATTATGAGTAACATCTTGTAGTACGCAGGATCTGTCTCTAAACATGAACACAATAATGTATCCTTCTTACAGCTTAGCCTTCACGTCATGTAAACGTATGAGTTGAGCTCAACTCTGATTTCTGAAAGAGAAAAATACTGTGCTTTATTGGAGGTCATCTGCTTCATAAGTACATAAGATACAACTTTCTTTATAATAATAACTCAGTTGTTGAACTACCTCCCCATCAAAATCTGGTTCCATCCTTTCTGATCTTGTGACAGAAGCTCAAAATATACTATTCCCTGTTTTTAAAACTGGCTTTAACATTTGATTTTAAAGATTATTTTAAATGCTTTTAGATAATGCATTTATTTATTTTATTGTGCATCAGTTTTGAGGACTTTGATGGGCAGAAAGGTGATTAACATAGTTTATAGCTGCAGTTTTGATAGATATAGATAGATAGATAGATAGATAGATTTATAGCTGCAGTTTTGATAGATAGATAGATAGAGAGAGAGAGAGAGAGAGAGAGAGAGAGAGAGAGAGAGAGAGAAAGATGGACGGACGGACAGACGGACAGATGGACGGAGGGAGGCATGGGTGGGCAGGACAGGATAGGCAGTTAAGAATTTAACTGACTAGAAAATAAATACTGCAACAGCAGATATTTCACTAAATATTTCACGAAGAGAAAATATTTTCCTTTAATTTTAAATAGTGTATCACATGCCATGGAAAAGTATACATCTGTCATCTGAATTCACAGTTGGAACCTGTGAAACCAGCACAGTTGCTTCATTTGAAAAGTATCTCTTCCAGAAACTGGAGAGTTTAATTTCCAATCTGGATCGTGAGCTGAAGCAGTGGACTACACAGTGTCATACTGCAACAGATACATTGGAAAAGATAACACATAAGCTTACCCTTCACTTTGTAGGTAAGGAGAAAGCTTTATTTACTACTTCTGTATTACTGTTATTATGTAATATTTTATCATGTAAAATATTTATCATATAAAACGCAGAAAGTCCATACATAAAAGGAATGACATTTGTCCACAATAAATATATTTTAGCCAAGTTTGTCGATTAAAAGCTTGAGTCATAAGATATAGCCACAATAATATGATCTGTAACCATATCATATATATGCAATATCGTAACACTTACCGTATATTTTGTAATCAGCTAACTGAACTTGATATGGAATGATGAATCCTATGTTGATATAAAGGGTAAGGATAGAGGATGTTCTATATTTTTGCATATGTAGATAAGTGAGAATTAAAAGCGGAAGGACTGCAAGGCAGAAAAACTGACTGATGAGTTTGTTGAGACTGGTCTTTAGTTTGCAGATAGCAGATGACTTATTTTTAACATAACGACTGTCTAGTACTCATTCAAAATGGTATCACACAATAGAAGCTGTGAAGAGTGCACAGAATGTTTGTATCATTCCACAAAGCCAAATATGGCAAGTTCAATCCATCAGATGTTTCCAACTTTTGCTGGCCTAACTCATGGCCAAACTGGATGGAACTGTCACAACTGAATACACAATAAAGCGGCAACTTCGTGTGCTTTCACCAAAGGAATCAGAACTCAGGAGACTGTTGGCAACATGGGAAAGCAGATGATTGAGTCTGGAAGTAACAGACACACAGCTATGTTGGACAGACAGTTAGTAGACATTGTAGACTAAGAGTTCTTCTAAGCTACGGAAGATGAAAACTAACTACTTTGGAAAGAACAGCATATTAAAAAACTCAGAACTGAACAAAGACAAGGCAGCTTTAAAGTAAATTCAACATACAGTGGTACCTCGACTTACGAACTTAATCCGTATTGGAACGGCGCTTGTAAGTTGAAACGTTCGTAAGTCGAAGCACCATTTCCCATTGAAATGCATGGGAACAGGATTAATCTGTTCCAGCATTTCAAAAAAAAATACTAAAAAATAAAACACAGCAAGTCCCACGCTGGGACTGCAAAAAAATAATAAAAAAATCCAAAAATAAGACAACACAGCACAGAAACATAACCTTCCCAGTCCAAACCCACTCTCCAAAACCCACCCAGAACAGTTTTTTTAAAAAGGAAAAAGCAGCACCTTACCCGTCCTCAGCCTCCTCAGCCTCCCGGGCTTCCACTGCTGCTGTGACCACCGCTGGCGGGAGGCTTGAGCCTGGCGGGGG